ACCAGGGCCTGTATGATCCATGTGGGGTGAGTGGGAAAAAAAATGACCCCAAGGCGAAATCAATTATGTAAGATCTGAAAATTCTTCACACTCTTTAAAAATTTATATTGTTTCTATACATATATCCAATTTACATATAATAAATCTTTAATGTTTGGTTCCATGAGTTTTTTACTTATTTAAATGTTTTGATATGGAGTCTTACTCTGTCATCCAGGCTGGGGTGCAGTGGTGTGATCTCGGCTCACTGCAACCTCTGCCTCCCGGGTTCAAGCGATTCTCGTGCCTCAGCCTCCTGAGTAGCTGGGATTACAGGCGCCCGCCACCACGCCTGGCTAATTTTTGTATTTTCAGTAGAGACGGGGTTTCACCATGTTGGCCAGGCTTGTCTTGAACTTCTGACCTCAGGTGATCTGCCCACCTCAGCCTCCCAGAGTGCTGGGATTATAGGCATGAGTCACCGCGCCCCGCCAAGGTTCCGTGAATTTTGACAATTGTATAAACTTGTGTAACCTCCAACCAAAACAATAGACAGAACATTTCTATTACCCTAGAAAATTTCCTTGATTGCCTTTTTTTTTTTTTTTTTTTTTTAAAGGCTCATGCAGGCTGAGTAATACTGAGAATGGGGTCTCATTATGTTGCTTAGGCTGGCTTCAAACTCCTGGGCTCAGGTGATCCTCCCACCTCAGCCTCCTGAGTGGCTGGGACTACAGGCGCCCGCCACCACGCCCGGCTAATTTTTTGTATTTTTAGTAGAGACGGAGTTTCACCGTGTTAGCCAGGATGGTCTCGATCTCCTGACCTCGTGATCAGCCCGCCTCGGCCTCCTAAAGTGTTGGGATTACAGGCGTGAGCCACCGCGCCCGGCCAAAAATTAGTTTTGTGTTTTTGAACTTCATATAAACGGAATCATACAGCCCATATTGTGTTTTTCTTTTCCTTATCATTTTGAGATTCAGCCACGTGTTGAGTGCATCAATAGTTTGACCTGTTATTGTTGGTGTTGAGCAGTGTTCCATTGTTTGAATATGTCATAATGTGTTACTCTATCCTCCTGTGGATGGATATTTGGGCTGTCTCCAGTTTTGTACTATATTCAAAAAAGGCTGCTATAAATATTTGTGTACAAGTCTTTTTGGGGACATATATTTTCATTTTTCTTGCTTACCAAAGAGTAGAACTGCCGCGTCATATGGTAGATGCATGTTTAACTTAATAAGAAATCACCAGTTTTCCTAACTGATTATACCATTTTACACCCCCACTTGCAATGTATGAGTTCCAATTGCTGTACATCCTTGTCACCACTTACTTCCATCAATGTTTTTAATTTTAACCATTCTAGTGGGTATGAAATGGTATCTCATCGTGATTTTTTTTTTTTTTTTTTTTAAGGCTAGTCAGGTGAAGCAGTGGGAATGGAGAAGGGACAAAGAAATCTGTAACTGGTTGTGATCAATTAGTTGTAAACACCACATCATTCATACTAGCCTGTCATTGTGACTTTAACTTGCATTTTCTTTTCTTTTTTTTTTTTTTTTGAGACAGGGTCTCACTCTGTCACCTAGGCTGGAGTGCAGTGGCACAATCTCGGCTAACTGCAACTTCTGCCTCCCGGGTTCAAACGATTCTCCTGCCTCAGCCCCTGAAGTAGCTGGGACTACAGGCACATGCTACCACACCTGGCTAATTTTGTATTTTTTGTAGAGGCTGGGTTTCACTGCCCAGGCTGGTCTTGAACTCCTGAGGTCAAGTGATCCACCCACCTCAGCCTCCCAAAGTGCTGGATTATAGGTGTGAGTCACTGGGCCCAGCCAACTTTTATTTCTGTTTTGAGACTGAGTTTCGCTCTTGTTGGCCAGGCTGGAGTGCCGTGGTGCAATCTCGGCTCACTGCAACCTCTGTCTCCCAGGTTCAAGTGATTTTCCTGCCTCAGCCTCCCAAATAGCTGGAATTAAAGGCATGCACCACCACGCCTGGCTAATTTTGTATTTTTTTTTTAGTAGAGACAGGTTTCACCATGTTGGCCAGGCTGGTCTTGGACTCCTAACCTCAGGTGATTCACCAGCTTCAGCTTCCCAAAGTGCTGAACCTTGATATGAAAATTTGGTGAAGATATTACAAAAAAAGAAAATTATAAATCAATATCCCAGCTGGGTGCAGTGGCTCACACCTGCAATCCCAGCAATTTGGGAGGCTGAGGCGGGCAGATCACCTGCGGTCTGGAGTTCGAGACCAGCCTGGCCTACATGGTGAAACCCTGTCTCTACTAAAAAATACAAAAATTAGCCAAGCGTTGTGGTGCACACCTGTATCCCAGCTACTTGGGAGGCTGAGGCAGGAGAATCGCTTGAACCCGGAGGTGGACATTGCAGTGAGGTGGAGATCGCACCACTGTACTCCAGGCTGGGCAACAGAATGAAAGTCTGTCTTAATAAATAAACAAATAGGCCGAGCGCGGTGGCTCAAGCCTGTAATCCCAGCACTTTGGGAGGCCGAGACGGGTGGATCACGAGGTCAGGAGATCGAGACCATCCTGGCTAATACGGCGAAACCCCGTCTCTACTAAAAATACAAAAAACTAGCCGGGTGAGTTGGCGGGCGCCTGTAGTCCCAGCTACTCGGGAGGCTGAGGCAGGAGAATGGCGTGAACCCGGGAGGCGGAGCTTGCAGTGAACTGAGATCCGGCCACTGCACTCCAGCCTGGGCGACAGAGTGAGACTCCGCCTCAAAAAAAAAAAAATAAATAAATAAATAAATAAATAAATAAACAAATAAATAAATAAACCAATATCCCTCATGAACACAGATGCAAAAATGTGCATATCTGTTGATGCTGCAGTTTCATTTCTAGGAGTTTATCCTAAAACACTGTTAGAGGTGTTTAAAGATGAAGAGTCTGTTTATCAAGAAGAGTCATATGGATTTTTAAAGAAAAGGATCCTGTTTCTACAAAAAAATACACAAAAATTAGCCAGGCATGGTGGCTCCAGGTTATAGTTCCAGCTACTCAGCAGGCTGAGGTGGGAAGATCGCTTGAGCCAGGAGGTGGAGGCTGATGTGTACCACTGCACTCCAGCCTGAGGGAGAGACAGGGACCCCATCTCAAGAAAAGAAAAAAGAAAAAAGACAAACTATAGGATATCTAGGATATTTACCACAGCATTATTTTAATAGTAAAAATGGGAAACAAATGTTCCCCAAAATGTGACCAGTTAAATAAATATAGTACATTTATATGCTAGAATATGCAGCTATTAAAATAAGGTAGAAATATTTGAAACAGGAAAATTAACAATATATTATTTATTTTCAAGGTAGATTACCAAACAGTATTATGCAATGACCCCACATTTTTCAAAGAAAAATATGTATTGATATTTATATGTAAGGGAAAAAAAGACTAGAAGGACATTAACCAAATGTCAAAAGTGGTAAATTATTGGATGATGAGAGCGTGGGTGACTTTTATTTCCGTCCTTTACTTATAGGTATGTCTAGGTATGTCTTGCAACAAATGTATATTGCTTTTTTTTTTTAAAGAGAGGATCTTGCTCTGTCACCACAGCTGAGGTGCAGTGGCGCCATTACAGCTCACTGCAGTTTTGACCACCCAGGCTCAAGCTATCCTCCCCACCTCAGCCTCCCAAGTAGCTGGGACCACAGGTGCATGCTGCCATGCCTGGCTAATTTTTACAATCTTCTGTAGAGATGAGGTCCCACTAGGTTGCCCAGGCTGGTCTGGAACTCCTGAGTTCAAGTGATCTTCCCACCTCAGCCTCCCAAAGTACTGAGATTACAGGTGTGTCCAGCAGCTTTTCTAATATAAAAGTTATTACTGAGAATAAAAAAAAAAAAAATCTGTCCAGTGGAGATTTCTGTGCCCCTCCCATCACATTTCTTAGGAAGAAAATATCTGGGGTTGTGAGATGTTCCACTTTATCCTCAACCTCAACCATACCCACCCTGAACCACTGGATACAATTTTCTCTCACTGGGTGCACGGTGGTTCTGTCCTAATGGTCCAACCTTCTCAGTAGGTGAGGCAGTCTGAGCACACCTGCTGTGTGGCTTTTGGCAAGATCCTTCCCTTAGTTGGGCTCCAGTTTTTTCTTCTCTATAAATTCAGGAGTTAGAATCAATGATCTGCAAGGTCCTTTCTGGACGTAGCGGAAAGGAGACATTTAGAATCAGAAAACGCCAGGGGTAGATTTCAGAATGTGGGCATTACCTCCCAGCAAAATATTCCTTACTATTTCCTGTGTAAGGCCTCCAGCAAGATAATAAGCACCCTCCAGCTCTGGCTTGCTCCGTATCTTACACTAGTCATGGTGTAGGACTGGGCACAGGGTAGGTGCTCACTGATTTAGCTTTTTGTCTCCATCTCCTAAAAAACAATTCCACATATTCTAGGTTTGATTATCAGTGGACCCTCCTGATGGGTATCTGGAGCAGGAGGTTGGGTTTTTTTTTGTTTTTGTTTTTTTTGAGATGGAGTTTTGCTCTTGTCGCCCAGGCTGGAGTGCAATAGCACGCTCTCGGCTCACTGTAACCTCTGCCTCCTGGGTTCAACCGATTCTCCTGCCTTAGCCTCCCTAGTAGCTGGGTTAACAGGCACCCACCACCACGCTCAGCTAATTTTTTTTTGAGACGGATTCTTGCTGTTGCCTAAGCTGGAGTGAGCTGGCGTGAACTCGGCTCACCGCAACCTCCGCCTCCCGGGTTCAAGCAATTCTCCTGCCTCAACCTCCCGAGTAGCTGGGACTACAGGCACCTATCACCATGCCCCGCTAATTTTTGTATTTTTAGTAAAGAAGGGGTTTCACTATGTTGGCCAGGCTGGTCTCGAATTCCTGACCTCGTGATCCGCCTGCCTTGGCCTCCCAAAGTGCTGGGATTACAGGCGTGAGCCACCGTGCCCGGCCTAATTTTTGTATTTTTAGTAGAGATGGGGTTTCACCATGTTGGCCAGGCTGGTCTCAAACTCCTGACCTTAAATGATGAGCCAGCCTTAGCCTCCCAGCATGCTGAGATTACAAGCGTGAGCCACCACGCCCAGCCGGTTGGTTTTAACTATTTGGGGCACACACTGTGATTTTTTTTCTGACGCAGCTGGTATAGCGCTTGCCTGTAACAATTTGCAATTCACTAAGTTGAGCAAGGTCTGGGCACCTCCAAGGCAGACATGCCAGTGGCTGAAGAGAACACAACATTCAAATCCTCTCCATCTGGGGCCTTGGTCCGGAAGGCCAATCTCATGGCAAGTCGAACGGCTTTGAGACATCTCCCTCGTGGCGGGTGCCCGAGCTGCAGCTGCGCGGCCTCTGGAAAGAGATCTGCTGCTAAGTAACAGGACTTCAGAAGAGCTGTGTGACTTTGGTCAAGTCCCTTCCTCCTTCAGGAACGCTGCAGTGGGCCTAAGTGCCTCCTCCCGGAACTGGTACGGGGACGGTCGTGCGATTTTGACAACATTCGCCTTTTAATGTTTATTGATCTTTTGTGACACGCGCGTCGGTTCCCATCAGCAAGGAAGTCAATGGTAGCGGCGCGGGAGCCTGCAGAACTCGCGCTCTAGCTCTCGCGGGACCTCCGCCCAAGGCCTCGCAGCATCACCCCCTCCGCCGCCGTGGCGGCGGCGGCGGCGGCGCGTAGCTTACTCACAGGGCCGGCCCGTATCCCTCCGCCGCCGGCGCGGCTCAGCCCTCCCTCCCCTGGCCCGCCAATCCCCGCGCCTCCCGACCTGCCCCTCGGTCGGGCCCACCCCGTGCTCCGACGGCCCCACCCCGGCGGCGCCGCCCGCCCGCCCGCGCGTCCCTCGGTCCACCTGCAGCAGGCAGGAAGGCAGGCAGTCCCTCCGGCTGTCCGACCGAGAGACGCCGGCCGAGCTTGGGCTTTTGCTTTCTGGCGGAGGGATCCGCGGCGGCTGACTAGGTGGCGCTGATCCTGGGAGGAAGAGGCAGCTACGGCGGCGGCGGCGGCGGCGGCGGCTAGGGCGGCGGGGAATAAAGGGGCCGCCGCCGGGTGATGCGGTGACCGCTGCGGCAGGCCCAGGAGCTGAGTGGGCCCCGGCCCTCAGCCCGTGCCGCCAGACCCGCTCTCCTCAACTCTCCATCTTCTCCGGCCGACCGCGATCGCCAAGGCGGCCTCAGGCTCCCTAGCCCCTTCCCCGTCCCTTCCCCGCCCCCGTCCCCGCCCCGGGGGCCGCCGCCACCCGCCTCCCACCATGGCTCTGAAGAGAATCCACAAGGTAAGCGGCCGGAGGTTGGCTGCGGGGCTGACCAGCTGAGCAGGCTGCGGCCTGCACTTCCCGCCGTAGTCTCCGCCGGCCTAGCGGCCTCCTTGGATCCCGCTGCCGGTGCTGGCCCCGCTGGGCGGCCTCCATACCCCACTCCCAGTGATGGCGCCCGCGGAGGCCCCGGCGCGCAGCCCGCGCTTAGGCCGGAGGTGCTCTGGCGGTCTTAGCGTTCCTCCCTGGCTGCCCTTTCAGGCCCGCATGGTGTGGGCTCTTAGGGCTTCTCTCCTGTCTGGGACTGCCGCTGCACTTGAGGGCCATTGTCCGGCCAGGATGGCGGGGTTGGGGCCGTGGGGGGCGCTGGGGCGTTGGGCGGCCCCTTCGACAGAGGTCGAAAGGGCTTTTCGCCCCATTTCTGTTCTCTCCTCCCACACCTGCCCTAGCTCCCTCTACAAAACCGCCTGAGCTCGGGCTGACGGAGGAAGTCGTTTTGCCCGATCCACAAGTATCTCTTGAGTTCACTTACCTCTTGGGTGGCAGCAAACATCGGTCCACCCTGCTTGTCCAGAAACTGTTCAGAGTTGGAAGTTCAGAAGAAAAAAAAAGGTGACTTATGAGGGAGGAGGGAAGTAGAGGGAGAATCATTTTATTCTTTGAGGTTGCTATATGTAGTTAGAAACTAACACTTCCGTTTTGCAGGATTGGATTTAATAGAAAAGCTGTACATTGGCAAAGGTAGAGGTAGAAACCTGAACATTGAAAAAACCACCAGAGAAATTACACAAAAGTTCCTTTCACAGTCTCTTCGCAAAGTGGGCTTGACGCTATTAAGTGATACGTTTACGGAGACTGTTAACTGGGAAGGGATTTTACTAGATTTTGTATTAAAAAGGATTTCTTTGCTCTTTAAAGTGAAGGATTATTTAGTTATCGGTAAGGAGGTTTTCCTAATAATACATCTAGAATATAAGATTGGCTTAAAATTTAGTTTTTTTCCCTTTCTGACGTTGTAACCTGTTAGTGCCACTTTCATGTTTTTTTTTCTTAGAAGTAGGGAGGCACCACTATTAATTTCTGTTCGGTGTTTCACCTGGCTACTCAGATTGGCTATATTAAACCGGTAGCTACTTTTTTCTTTAATACATCTTTTTCCTTTTTGTGGAGAATGGGATCTTGCCATGTTGTCCAGGCTGGTGTCGAACTCCTGGGCTCAAGCTAGCCTCCCACCTCTGCCTCCTTTAAGTGTTGGGATTACAGGCATCAATCAGCCACTGCACACGGCCTATACCTGTAGCTACTTAGTGAGAAGTAGGTACTGGGGTTATCCATTCTGGATGATGGGATGGGTGTGCAAGAGAAAGAGAACCAGTTTTCACCTTGTCTTAAACTAAGAATACAGATTGATGATTTAAATACCTCAGCTCAGCGGTTGGTCATAATTTCATTTTTGCTCAGACTTAGCGTGGAATCAGTCCCATTGGTTACTATAATTAGGTTAGCTCCTTAACTTCTTTTGACTTCGATTTCTAACAAATGAAGAAGGGCAGATTTTAGACAATAAATCTTGTACTAAAATGAAATGGTATTTGTTAAATACCATAAAGAAGCTTGAACCTTAAGCAAAGATGTCTTAACCATTTAAGGGTCAGGAGCACACAGGAATAATCATCCAAATAAATTGTATACATATGTATTTTTAAGGCATTTAGGAATTGCTAGGTCCTTATAGAATCTAATTGGGAAGTTATCAAATACCTGTAGAAGATTGTGCTCTTATTTTAAAACCTGAGGAAGACCAAGTGGGTATAATGTGTGATAATTTACAGATAAAGAAATGTAGACTTTAATCTCTACATTGATTTATGTGTGTAATGGACTTATTCAGAGAGGGAAATATCTCTTCGACATAAAACATACATTTTAATTAATACTTGCCCTGGTAATATGGTTTCTTACGAGTTGCTACATATTTTCTAGAATAGATTTTCCCTAAAATATGCCTTTGTAAGATTTTTTAATAACATCAAGTTTAGAAATAATTTGAACTTTTTTTGAGGAAAGAGTTTCACTCTTGTTGCCCAGGCTGGAGTGCAATGGCACGATCTTGGCTCACCGCAACCTCCACCTCCTGAGTTCAAGTGATACTTCTGCCTCAGCCTCCCGAGTAGCTGGGATTACAGGCACACACCACCATACCCACCTAATTTTTGTATTTTTAGTAGAAACGGGGTTTCACCGTGTTGGCCAGGCTGGTCTCCAACTCCTGACCTCCGGTGATCCACCTGCCTCAGCCTCCCAAAGTGTTGGGATTACAGGCGTGAGCTGTCTTGCCTGGCCTGAACCTTTTTTTTGTTTTTTTGAGACAGAGTCTCCCTCTGTTGCCCAGGCTGGAGTGCAGTGGTGCTATCCTGACTCACTGCAACTTCTGCTTCCCGGGTTCAAGAGATTCTCCTGCCTCAGCCTCCGGAGTAGCTGGGATTACAGGCACCCTGCCGCCATGCCCAGCTAATTTTTGTATTTTTAGTAGAGACAGGGTTTCACCACGTTGGCCAGACTGGTCTTGAACTCCTGACCTCAAGTAATTACTCCTGACCTCAAGTGATCTGCCCACTTTGGCCTCTCAAAGTGCCGGGATTACAGGTGTGAGCCACCTCATCTGGCCCGGCCTGAACTTTTAAAATTCAATATTAGCCATTTTCCCCTAGTTTATACCCCTAGAGCTCTTCACAAAGTATGGCTTGACTTCTCTGAGACTGCTGATGATAAGAAAAATGAAATTTATTTTGATATACCAGTCAAAAAGATTGTGAAAACAAAATGGAGATGAATTTTTTTCCCCAAACTCTTTGTACCACAATGTTAAGTTGAATAGCAGACTTACTAGGCATGGACAAGATCAGTTCTATCTTATCTTCAGTCCTAGTAATGTGTCTGCAGTGGAATCCCCATTGCTTGGCTTCAATAATTGATCTTGATCTTGAACCTTCCCAATTATTCCCTGAAAAAAAAAAAAATTCTACTTAAATACCTTCTTGACTTATATGTCATGAGTTGCTGCATCTGGGTTCTAATGAAATTGTTCTAAGAAAAACTACATTTGACATGTGACATCTTCAGGAATTCAATACCTTGTTTCTTTGACAGAGGGACACTATTCATGTCTGTGAATTTGGCAGTCTTTGAAATGCCATGTCTTTTTTGGAAAAAGCTTCTGATGGACTTTATTTTGATATACATCTTAAGGTCCCCTGACCTATGCTATAAAAGGGCATAGCAAAGAGGGTCATTATGAACATTGTGTGTAGTTCTGGGCAGGGATTGGGATCCTTTGGGATTGTTGGTATCTACACCACATGGCCCCACCCTGCTATGTTTTGAGGTTTTCTGCTGACTTTTTAGGTCTTCAGCTTTGATTTTGATGCTTTGAGTGCCTGCCTCTAGCAGCACCACCCCCAGCCCTTTTCCAGTTGGCTGCATCTCATCTGTTGTGGGCTAAGAAACCAGATCACAGAGCTTATTAAAATTGTGTCTAAATTAAGATCCAGTAGGCTCTTGACTGAAGAGGGCTTCATGTGCTCCGTGAACTGTGTGGTTTCCTTCGCTGATCAGAGACTTTTTTGACTTGCTTCCTGTTTTTCTTCTTTACTTTTGCTATACAGATGTAGGAGGCTTTTTGGTGCTCTTAGAGTGCTGTAATGTTGAAGTATTTGGTTAGTTTCTCTATTCTTGGGAAGGGTAAAAGGCTAAATATCTTGATTCTTTGAGGAGTTGGAAGACTGACCAGAGTTGGATACTAAAAGCTTTTCTTAACAGTAATAGTGCATTGTACATTTTAATGGTGTCCTACTAGTAGCAGGTAACGTTTAGTATACATAGCTTTCAAACAAAGTAATGCCAGGATTGTCACTTGATCTATTTCTGTGATAGAGATTTTTTTTTTCTTTTTTTTTGGAGACGGAGTCTCACTCAGGCTGGAGTGCAGTGGCATGATCTCAGCTCACTATGAACTCTGGCTCCCAGGGTCAAGCAATTCTCTTGCCTCAGCCTCCCAAGTAGCTGGGATTACAGGCAGCCGCCACCATGCTCAGTTAATTTTGTATTTTTGGTAGAGACAGGGTTTCACCATGTTGGCCAGGCTGGTCGAACTCCTGACCTCAGGAGATCCGCCCATCTCGGCCTCCCAAAGTGTTGGGATTACAGGTGTAAGCCGCCGCACCCAGCCTATGGCTAGCTTCTTTTAAGGCATCTCAAGACAAAGTTCTCAATGAAATAAAGATATCAGGTCAGGCACGGTGGGTCATGCCTGTAATCCCAGCACTTTGGGAGGCCCAAGTGGGCAGATTGCTTGAGCTCAGGAGTTCGAGACCAGTCTGAGCAACATGACAAAACATGATCTTTACAAAAAATACAAAAAACTACCTGGGTATGGCAGTGGGTGACTGTAGTCCCAGCTAGGTGGGAGGCTGAGGTGGGAGGATCTCTGGAACCTGGGAGGTAGAGGCTGCAGTGAACCGTGATCAAGCCGCTACGCTGCAGCCTATGCAACAGAGTGAGACCCTGTGTCCAAAAAAAAAAAAAAAGATTTCAAACGCTGATGTCTATAAAAGCCAGGCAGGTACCAAAGTGAGCAGAGATAATTTGAGGGAGCTAGAAAATGCGTGTGCTATCAGATGAGGGCAACTGCTAACCAGCTCCCTGCAAATGTTGCCATTGCCAAAATCTGTGGACCCAGTGTTGCCATATCTTCCACTAAAAAACAAAAACAAACAAACAAAAAAAAACAGAGAAGCCACAAATCCAGATTTTTTTGCCAACCAATTCAAATTAAAAAAAAAAAAAATACACGTTTTGGTCGACATCAGTTTAGTATGTGGATTAAAGTAACAAGGGATTGGGGTTCATTAAGTAATCAGGAGTGTAAAAAGATCAAGTCATTTAAACAATACTTCCTGTATTTTTATTTTTTATTATTATTATTTTTTTTTTTTTATTTTTTTTGAGACGGAGTCTCGCTGTATCGCCCAGGCTGGAGTGCAGTGGCCGGATCTCCGCTCACTGCAAGCTCCGCCTCCCGGGTTTTTACGCCATTCTCCTGCCTCAGCCTCCCGAGTAGCCGGGACTACAGGCGCCCGCCACCTCGCCCGGCTAGTTTTTTGTATTTTTTAGTAGAGATGGTGTTTCACCGTGTTAGCCAGGATGGTCTCGAACTCCTGACCTTGTGATCCGCCCGTCTCGGCCTCCCAAAGTGCTGGGATTACAGGCTTGAGCCACCGCGCCCGGCCACTACTTCCTGTATTTTTAAAAGTTTGAAAGTATTGCTTTATGTAAGATTAAGTTTGTTTTTTAGACAGTCTTTGCTTTGTCACCCAGGCTGGAGTGCAGTGGTGTGATCTCGGCTCACTGCAACCTCTGCCTCCCAGGTTCAAGCAATTCTCCTGCCTCAGCCTCCTGAGCAGCTGGGACTACAGGCTTGCGCCACCACACCCAACTAATTTTTGTATTTTTAGTGGAGATGGGGTTTCCCCATATTGGCCAGGCTAGTCTCAAACTCCTGACCTCGTGATCCACCCACCTCGGCCTCCTAAAGTGCTGGGAATACAAGCATG